ACAGCTGCCGCCGGTTGTGGGAAACCCTCGTATCTTTACTAACATTGAATTTCCAAGCTGACTAATGGGTTTGATTTGACAGTTTTTGCAGTTTTCTTACAGTACATTTATTAGAAGGAATGGCGTGTCTCAAACTGTTGATTCAAATCGTTAATTGAGAATTCCACTATGTTCTATGGAAAATTAAGGTCTGTTTTTTCAGGTAAGCTTTTCGCCTTATTTACATTTACAAAAACAAACATAGCCTGCAGAATTGATAGCAATGACTGAAGAAACGCTGCCCAAAGTCGATTATTTGAACAAAGGCATGAAACCAACAACTGGTAAGTAGGAGCAGATAAATGTGCAAAACTGATCTTGTCATAGCTCATTGCCAAACACTTTTCAGCGCACATTAGGCTAGTCTCACACGCCCCATTCAGTAACTTTATGACAGTTAAAGATATCCGACACATATACACACATATTTTATCATTTTGAGAAATTGTAACTCAGGGAGCAAATTAGATTCCGGAATAATTACAGAACAATGAGCCACATTTTAACTGTAAAAAGCCACTGGGAAGTGCAAAGGTGTATTATCTCTTTCTTTGTCTCCTATTCGTCTGTTAGGAAAAAGCGCTTAATAGTGCTGGGTAGAGTGTTGTGATACAAGCCTTGTAGGTGAAAGGACAAGTAGAAAGAGTGCGGAGATTGTTAAGGAAAGGAACATTAGTAATGCAGAAAATACAAAACAGCGTGATGATTGAGATGACTCAGCCCAGATGACCGGCATGCAAAATGTCACTGTAACCACGCCAGAAAGCAAAATCCGATGAGTGGAACTAGTCATTCGCTTTCATAACAATTGGCAGACATTGCGTGAGTGAGACTCGCAAGGAAGAAAATGGACACTTGGACTACTTCCGAAGGGGTGAAGTACATTGCCTCAAATAGGCAGTGGGTGCTAAGTGCAGGAATGGATCTCAGAAACAGGCAATCTCGCAGAGCGGCGTCCGAGGTATGAAAGCATCCCATCAACATTACTAATATGAATTCCCACACAGCGATTTTCTTAGCGCTGTTTATTAATCTTAACAATGTACGAACTGATAGAGCACTTGTCTTCTGAGCCAGGCATCTTTAATTTAGGTCTCTAACGGGGGGTCCAGACTCCTGTAATGACTAAGGAGGAGTTGAAAAATGTAATATTCGAGCTGGCATAGT